AAAAATGATCCATTATAAAGGAAATAATCCTTTGAGATTTACATAGTTTTTTTTTCCTATGAATAATAAAAGGTTATTACCTACATCATGCGTATATTAATTATTATTAATGACGATAATTTTGCTTAGTAAAATAACTGTAGCATACCAATAGATATGACTTTCAAATCAAATCGTTAATTAATATATAAAAAACAGGCACATACACACACGCATGTGCATGATGATTATTATTATCTATAGATACGCACGCATCAGTCGATTTTGTCTTTCTTATAGCTTTATTAGAGATCGACTTGATGTTGTGTCTATCTTTCTTTTCTCTCAGTTTTTTTTTTCTGTTATTTGTCTCTATTTGAACTTGTTCTCATGAATAAATAATCAATAAGCTCAACTTCGGTTTCTTTCTTCTCTGTTCTTCTATCTGATAACCATTACATAAATGTATAACAAGTAAAAACAAAAAAAAAAGAACATAGATGAGATAGTATGAAGTTATTTTCTTTTGTTACAGAACAGTATCAAACATATAAATAGCAAGTATCTTCTTCTGACTAATTCTTACTATAATTAGTTACATTGTCAAAAGAGAGCAATAAGGATGTTTTCTTCATTCTCATGTCTACTCTTATATGATGACAACAACAAATATTCATAATATTGCTTCATCGTTGTTCCGAACCATGCGCATTTTCTTTCGTTCATTCGCATTTCGAGTATGCGTGCGTGCATCCGTTCAATATTTTTTTTATCTACTAGTATTCTAACCCAAATATCTCTTCTATGTTTGTCACACAAACTCTTCTTTCACTCTGTCTCTGTCTCGTTTTTTTTTCTATTTTGTCTTCATTCGTAATTGGTCCCATCTCTCTGCATCTTTACTGTTGGATGCATACATGTCTTTTCTCTTCATTTCTTCCTATTTATTCATTTTGCAACAACGTCTCAAACTATGACTATATCCCGCTGTTTATTATGTCAAATGTACGACTGAATTTTCTTGTTCACTCTCATGCACATGATCAACTAGCTCATTAATATCTGATTAAATCGGAACTAAGCAAGAGTTCATTGACGTAATTCTTAATATACGTACACATAAACAGATATGTATATATATATATATATACATATACATAGATAAAAAAAACATCATTATACTAGACCGGAAAACATGTATAAGAAATGCACTTGGTAAATACATAAGAATGATGTGTATATTAAGGATCAATGCAAATACATACATCTAAATCATTAAATAAAATGTCGAAATATGTTTAATAATAAAGAAATATAATACAGAATCAATTACCTTGTAGAAAAATCTAATACTTATAGATTATGTAATAGAAAATTATTTATCCTTAGGGAACAACAAAAAAAAATCATATTTATTATCAATTTCTAAATGAATTATTTCTTCTTACTAATTTCTATATTTTATTATAAATAAACATATTCATTTTCTAATAATATACATAAAATAAATGACTTCTATAAATCTTAGATATTTTAAGAGAAAAAAAAAGCTCATTGTTCGCCGTTTATTATTCTGTTTCTCGTCATATTTAGAATGGATCGATGTCATTGGTATTTCCGTCCGAGAACATGAGTCTTAATATTTTCTCGCAAATTTTTCTCTCTTTTTTTTTCTTTTTGTTCTTACTGTTTAAGAAAATGTCTATCGTTTTCTGTTGTCGTCATGAAAAAAAAAAGCAATAAAAATCTAGTCGGATCGAATCATTTTCAACAAAATATAACTATTAGTTTTCTTATAGTATGTCTATCATATATATATATATATATATATATCTGACAGTAGCACCAGAAATTCTTTTAATCAAGAAAAAAAAAGAAACCATACACAAAAGGATGATGTCAATCATAGAAAATAAATTAGACAAGAAATGAGAAAAATTGTGTGCGTGGTTGAAAATTCAACGCACAGAAAATAGTACTGCTTAGTGCTAACAAATAAATAAAAAACAAAAAAAAAAAAGTATCACATTTGTTGTTGAAGACCAGATAATATTGATGCATAAACATACATAAACATATAGTTTTGTGCTAAGAAATAATCATATGGATATGCTAATGATGAATATTTTCGTCGTTTTTCATCATTATTATTTACATCAATTGTTAATGGACGTTTTTTCGATGGTAATAAATTCCATTCAGATGATTTACAATTTGGATCAAATGATTTTAATTTTTGACTACGTTGTCGATGACGATATAATGTTGATTTAACTGAAGAAAATGACGGTAAATGTTCACGTATGTTTATTGAATGTTCATTTATTGATCGCATTAATTCTTCATCATAAATTTTTGGAATTGTAATTGTATCTTCAGCAGCACGTTTTTTTAAACGTGATAAAAATTCTTGTTGAGGATCAACAAGTAATGTTCGTGCATGTAGATGACCATCATTACGACGTACAACACGTTCACCATATGTTCGTACACTAGCACTACATAATTCACTTAGAAAAAAAAACAAAAAAAAGATCAAGAAATGATGAAAGAAATTCATTGAATTCAAAACATACTGTGTACATGTCCACGATATAGAACCATCGAGATTATCACGTCGATGTTTATAACGATGACCATCAAGTATAATACATGGTTTACCTTTTTGTGTTGTTTTAAGAATAAATGAAGAATTTAATAAATCTGATTCTTGTTTTATAGGTTTTTGATTTGACGCTAATTCAGCAAGAACATCAAGACTAAAATTACATTATAACGTATATAAAATAATTCTTTCTTTTTTTGTCCTTACTTATTCATAGTTAATATGTACGTACGTATAGAGACAATCAAAGAATGATTTCTTCTTTTATGTAGCATGTATATATATGTACATACACATTTAAACATTCTATTGTATACTTAGACGAATTTCTACATGTGCGTTCCGAAAACAATCATAACATACTGTACAAAATATCAAGGGATTAGTTATAAAAATCGACTTGTTCTATCATGAGGTTAAACAGAATCATCTAGAAATTAAAGAAATAGAAAAATTTTATCGATTTTTTTGTATTGCGTAAATTTGATTAAACAAATCGATCTGTTCTTCTCGTCGTCTTTATCATATTGTCTCTAACAAATAAATAAAATATATAGTAATGAATCATTAAAGAATTTCAAATTGAAATTTTTATCATCAAAAAACAAGAAATCTATTTATATGAAAAAGAATAAACACAACACTAATCGTATATTATCATAAAAGAACTTATATCTTTCTCAATTATATAATATTTTTTTTTCTTCATATTGTAAAAGACGATTAACTGATTCTTGATTCAGAAAATAATTAGTTATATTTAGAGTCTTCAATACACATAGAAAGTCGTCTTATTCATTTGGATCAAATTGATTTTAAATTAGAATTCTTAATGAGGTTGAATACCTAGTGCCTAAGTCCAATTATAAAATATCTGATTGGTTCGAACCTTTGAATATAACAAAAAATTACCACTATAGGTCTGATTATAATTACTTATACATTGATACTTGCCATCTTAGTACATGCCATTAATTAATAATAGTTCCAACTGTTCCAAGCTATGATTTATTTATAGATATAGAAGTAGAATAAAAAAAATAGTTTGATCATATTTTAATAGACTAATATACTATAGAATAACTAACATAATTAACAGTACAAATTACTTTTTTTTTTATTCATCATGATAAATTTTATAACTCAAGTGACCTAACACATGGGAAATCAATTTAATTATTTGAAGGATGAAAAACAAAAGTCAATGATGCATATGCATTCATAACGTTATTTAGCCTTGACATTACGTTCAATTTGAATGTCATCAATAATAAGTAAGAAACATATTCAGTAATACGGACAGAATTTTTGAATTAATAAGATAAAAATTATTTAATAAATCATGTAATTCACTTAATTTCTTGTGTAATTTCTGCTAGTCTCTTTCTTGTTGTTGTTAATTATTTGCATAATTAAATCGAAGATAATATGAAAGGTTGAAAAATATTTATGATCGATAAAGTTTTGTCGAATTTTAGGCTTTTGTTTATAAAAATTAATGTTTTTTTTTTACTATTGTTTTGTGGAACTAAATGGAAGAGAACAGTTGATTTTACTGTTCTTATTTTGCTTTTGTGCTTAAAAACTAAGAACAAGATATCGTATCATGGAAAAAATTGTTGTTAACATTCTTTATAAAAACAAACAGAAAATGAATTAATAGCAAAAATAACTCGATGCAAAAAATTGCTTGATTCGTCCAATCCTGAATCTCCATAATTAAAATTGTCATGAAATTTATTAGTTTTTGCAATAATTTCAAATATTGATATTTTCCATTAATCATTATTACGAAAGTAAATGACATTGAAAGAGAATGCCTAGATTTTTTTGTAACATTCTAATATTTGCATTTAGATCATTAAATCAAAAAAAGGCAATTCCAACATTATCAAAATCATTGAACCGAAAAATCAATAACTTCATCCTTGATAAAATGATAGAAGTCATAATAATGTAATATAGCTGTCGGTTTTTTCAATAATAGAAAAACGAACTCAACAATTTTCAAGTCATTATATAGATAAAGTTAAGACGAATATTGTCTAAACTATTCAAAAAATAATTTATAATTAATATTCTCCTTTATAAGATATCATACAAGTTCATCCAATATTGAATAAAATCATCAGAAAACGAATATTAAAAATACTGTTTAAATCATTACCCTGGATTTTTTTTAAAGGACGTTTTTGTAGCACTTTTTTTTTAATATTCAAGCTCAAACCAGAGCTAATCAACATCCGACAGATACTTTCACAGTCACAGTACAATTTTCAAACTTTTATTCTATATTCTATAAATAGCAACAAAAAAAGAGCAAGCAAATCAAGTGATACCGAAATCATTTGATGTCGCTTTGCTTCTAAAATCTGATCAATTTCGCTAATTATACATTTGATTGTTGTGGATGACGCTGAAATGAACACAGTATCGATGCCAAACGTCATAATCGTGAATATATACATGAATGCTTTTTCCATCACGATAATAACAGATATGCTAGAATAAATGATTGTGTTTTTATCATCTAATACGTTTTATTAAAAAACAAAATATACTGCAAGATGCAACATGAAATGTTCTACAATCTACAATATAAAGCATATTTTATATGTGTATTTTTAATTTTATTCGTATGTCTCTATAACAAATAACATCAAAATGAAAAAGAATATAATTCAAACACATATCAATTGGTGTAAAATCGACCATCGATTGTAGGCTTCGACATGACTTATTAACTGAAGAAATAAGAAAAAATAAAAACTTTTTTACACCATCGATATTTTAGTCTATGTTGAAAACTAAAGGTGAATATGTAAGATAAGCTTTGTATTATAGATTGTAGAATTTTTCATGCAGCATCTTGTAGTATACTTAATTTTTTAATAAAACATATCAGATGATGAAAAAAATAAAATACAAAATACGACCATTTATTCTGATCCATCTTCTATATGTTCATCTTTTTGATAATTTATTCTTCTTTCCATGTATTCAGTTACTTCGTCATATGATTCATCATTATCATCTGTAGATGAATGCCCATTAAAAACGAATTCTTTTAATAAAACAATATCGCTTTCCACTTCTGTGATCTGTTCTCAAGTGCAATAAATTATTCAATCATGATCAAACCGATATTCACTTCTATGCTTTTATATAAATAGTAGTTTGAATGAGTAAAAATATTTCGAAACGTCAAGATCTCATTAATTGTCGAGTTGCAGGACACTATTTTGATCATCGATGATATGAATCTCAGCAACGCTAATAGTTATTGAACTCGGGTTTTCACTGTTAGAAAGAACATGAGTGGAGGTAAAGTCTGTCTAAGAATCAAAATACTTCAAGAGTTTTTTAGGTGGTTCTCGAGATTTTTTGAAAAATCACAGTCTGATTCACTTGATTAGGTGTATTTTCAAGTGAAATTGAAAAGTCAATATCTCGAGAAAGGAGCATACTTTTTGGTTAAAATTTTTAGAATATTCTATGGGTAAATTTTCAGATAGAAATTGCGTAATTTCATTTTCTGGTGAATACCTTGGAAAGGGTCGAAAATTCAGTGAAAATGGTCATCATTTTTTAAGAAAAGATCAAAGACATCGAAAAATTTTCGAATTTATAGAGTAGACATTGGGCTACAATATAGCTAAATTGAAATTGCAAATACAGCTAATCAAGCGAATGAGACAGTGATTTTTCAAAAAAATTCGCGCAGTCTCCTAGAAAACTTTTTCAGTATTTTGATTCGCAGGTAGACTTGTACTCCTACTCATGCTCTTTCTAGTGGTGAAAACCCGAGCTCGATAGCTATCAGTGTTGCTGAGTTATTCAACAAACAATCGAGTCCATTCGTTTTTGAAACGGATAATACTATTTATAAAATCTTTTTTACAATCATAGAATTATTTATCACAGAAACATTTTGCTATAGTTTCTTTATCCGAATTATTCCAGTAAATGGAATTTACGATTTAACACTGAGGATTTTTTTTTATAGATAAACTGTCACGATTGTGTTCCATGTAAGCTGTAGTATTGGTATCCTAAATTAGCTTTGAAGTTCATATCATATTATCAAAAAAAAAATCCAATGACAAAAATATATATGTGCAATGTCTGTTTAAATATTTTATTATTCGACATCAAAATATCATAGAAAATAAACATATAAAATTATATTATTTAAATAAAATATAATTTATTACAATTATTATCATATTTATTTATTTATTTTTTAACTAATAAAATCAGATTTTTTTTATTTCTCGCATTCTTGTATATCTATAAAAAAACAATATTAAAAAAACAATTTTTTATTTCTTTTTATTTTTTTTGTTTTGGTTTCATTTCTTCGAAACATGGCCTTAAATATATTACATTCTTTTTTGTTTGAATATTTCCTTCATGTCCTTTATGCCAATCATACGAACTTGCATAACCAAATAATTGTCCACGACTATCAAATGCACAACATGTTATAGATTGATCATTAATAACATCACTTGTTTTTAATTTTGTTCGATCATCTTTATCCCAAAAACTATATCGACCATCACTACCAACTGTAGCTAATGTACCATGTATAGGATGAAAAGCAATATCATTAACAGAAAATATATCTTGAGTACTACTAGTAGCTGTTGGAGTTGAACGATGACATTTAAATGTAAAATTATCAGCAGCTGGATTTGGTGTGTCAACATACGTTATTGCAACACGACCTTCAATTGAACCAATAGCAAATCCATTTGGATTTCGTGATTTATCTGTAAAAATTGATATACAACGATGTTGATATTTAAGTAATGATTCAATTTTTTTATATTCAGTTGGTCCTTGATCAAGTGAATAAACTTGTATAGCACGATCTGCTGTCGTTATAACAGCCATTGGACCAAACACATCAGCTGCATATATACGTTCAGTGAGTGCTAATTGTTTTAATGGTGTTGCTTGACGTGTATCCCAAAATTTAACTAAACAAAAAAAAATGAGGTTCCAAAAATATTGGATCGGATGAACTCTAGTCGGTATAATGCGTTACGCATTGAATATAAGAAATTGGAAAAAATGTATCTCATACTTTTAGTGCGACTATCTAATTCCATTGAGTATCGAAATATGATTTGACCGGGCTCGAGTTCGAGAATTTTGGGCCCAACATACTCTATCCATGGACAAGTTGGAAAAAAAGAGAGTTCGAAAC